CCCCCCCTCCATGGAGAAGGGCAGACCTGCAGGCTGCATACAATGTCACCGAGATTACTTGTACAAAACAAGTGGCGGCTTCCCCGCTGTACATTCAGCTCTGCTTGCCCAAAGCAGGGCTAAATGTTGAAAACAACTACCCGCCCGGGCATCGGGAGATAGGATTTCCACACCCCTGCTGCCCCTCTACTCCCTGCTGCCCCGAGGCCGGGCCTTGGTTGGCCTTGTGGGAAATCCGGCCCTGCTTGAGGGACTGACGCACAGGTCTGAATATGCCTCCCGGTCCTCTATGTTTGCTGAAATGAAATTTTCTTCTGAAAGGTCTTTGATGATGAAGAGTTTGACCTTCGGACGAGTTCTGATTGGCTAAGCCTGGGATACGAGGACGGCTCTGATGTACGCAAACCTGTGCCCGGCAGATCGCTGCTTCCCGCGGATGATGTTCTGGGACACGGTGAGCTGTTCTGAGTCCGCTGTGTTCTGTCCGTTCCTCCTGCGCTCAGTCTGGGCTTTGTTGCTCCTCTCTGAGGACCCATTCACACCACATCCAGATCATCTCCAGACCCGATTGTTTCCAGACCCAAAAGGCATCCTAATGTATCCCTATGTTATCTCTGGCCTCTGTTCACACCAGCGCAGTCCTTTCCAGACCAGAAAAATACTGTTGGTCTCATTTTGTCTGGTCTGGACTGCACTAGAACAGATCAGGTCCAGAAAATGGTGTGAACCTGCCCTGGAGAAGTCTTGTTACTACATTGTACAAACCTTTTCTTTGTAGAGGACCCGAAGAGCCCCCAACTGGTGTACAGATGGTGCAATGTCGGAGTTCTGGATTACGATCAAGGGAAGAAGCTCTACCTGGTTCAGAAGTCCACAGACATCCGACTCCTGACCCCGGACAAGATGGCGGCTCCCTCCTGCCAGTACTGGGTCCCGCGGATCCGGCTGCTGTTCTGCGCGGAGAACCCACGGGTGTTTGCGCAGAGGATTGTCGCCGCTGACCGCCTGCGGAAGAAGACGGAGGCTCTGCTCTTGTATAACCTGTACATAGACTGCATGCCGGGAAACGGTCGGAAAATCACCGCGGAGAGCCTGGACAGGATGATGCAACGACTGCTGAGCACAGCGCGCCTGAAACAGGAGGACGAGTATGACATTTTCTGTCCGCTTCTCCATCATTGGCTGACCTAAGTTGTTAAAGGAGAACTATGGGGTTAAGTCTTTTCCCCATAGTTCTCCTCAGGGTCACGGCAGGACACAAACTAGCGTCTTCCCGTCACCCTAGGCTCAGTATACCGCGAGCTGTACCTCCCTATATACTGAGACGCCGCAGCTGAAGCGGATCCCGACAATTGTGCCGGGATCCGCCCAGCTGCGTGACTGACAGCTGGCTCTGCCTATCTAGAGTCAGAGCCAGCTGTACCCGCCCCCTCCCTCGTCCGTTCCGCCAGTCAGCGCTGGAGGATCGGAGCGGGGAGGGGGGAATCCAGCCCCTCCCCTGTCACGGCAGAGAGCCGTGACAGGATCGAGAGGTGAGCGAACGCCGGTATGTGTTCGCTCACCTCCCGATCTACTGAGCCGACCTGCGACAGTCTCATTGTCACAGGTCGGCTAGAACTATGAGGTGAGTGAAAAGCACTCCCCTCATACTTCTCCTTTAAGGGAGAACTATGCAGTCAGTGTTTTCCCCCATTGTTCTCCTTAGGGCAGCGGGAGGACACAAACTAGCGTCCTCCGATCACCCAAAGCTCGGTATATAGGGAGCTACAGCTCGCGGTATAATGAGACGCCGCAGCCTGAGCGGATCCCGACATTACTGTTGAGATCCGCCCAGCTGCGTGAGTGACAGCTGGCTCTGCCTATCTAGAGGCAGAGCCAGCTGTACCCGCCCCCTCCCCCGTCCGTTCCTCCAGTCAGCGCTGGAGGATTGGAGCTGGGAGAGGGGGGAATCCCTGCTGGGAGCCGTGAGTAACAGTCACGGCTCTCTTCAGGGAGATGATCGAGAAGTGAGCGAGTGCCGGTATGCGTTCGCTCACTTCCCGATCTATTGAGCCGACCTGTGACAGTTTCATTGTCACAGGTCGGCTAGAACTATGAGGAGGAGTGAAAATCAATCACCTCATAGTTCTCCTTTGAATAAAATCTTTCCGTTTCCATTACCGCCACTAGAGGGAGCCAGTGGAAGTTGCTATGCTTCTCAGCGCCATCTAGCGGCGGTAGTGCCATGCGAAGATTTATGAATCAGCTTCTATGTCTTCCTCTCACTGTTCTAAACTGACATCGGCGACTCTTTGTTTTGTCTCGTCAGCGTTCACCGCCAACTCCAACTCCTGGAAGCCGAGATCCGATTGGACTATGAGCGCTCCATGAACAAACTCATCTTCGAGCGACTCGTCTCTTCGAAGCCTCAGAAATTTCCCTACGTTACCGTCCCGGAGAAGGTGGAGGAAAAGGTTCCTGAGAAAGGTACGAGCGTCAGGTCTTCCCTCTCCTGCCGGTGAGTGTTACCTGTCTGCATGGAGGGTGTATGCTGTCCCCGTGTTTGTTGGAGGGTCCTCCAGTAGCTTTAATTTCCTGGCACAACCCAAAAACATTGCATTTGCTTTCAGCAGCCCAACCCTGTATGAGGTTCAGCTGGTCTTGTGATCCACACAGTCAGTGACCGCAATTTCCCCTCCTGCAGTAACGTAATACAGCTTGGTCACCATTCAGCCCCCAGCCTCTGATTGGACGACGAAGGAGAAGCAGTTCACTGATGAGGGCACCACTCTGCTCTCTCCTCCTGTAAACATTCTCAGATCCGAATATATCAATGACATAAACATTGTAGCTGAAATACTACAAACCTACAAAAAGTGACGCACTAAAGACAACTCGTGCGCATGCGTGTGTTTGCGTGTGTGTGGTGCGGACATTTGATTGTTAGCTCCTTTGTCGGTAGAGATTGTCACGGTAGAGCGGAATAACTCGGCACTTGATAAAGAGATCTCTGACCGCTCCGCCGACCCATTACTCCTCTCCCCATCGCCGCAGGTCTCGTCTGCGTCCCGGATTACACCTACGCCAAGAATCGAAAAGCGTTCATCTTCACCACCCTGCTGACGAGGTCAGAGGTCATCAGTTCTCTCTGCAAAGTTCGGGCGGAGTGTAACAGAGTCTCCACCATGTCCCTGTTCCACTCCACGCTGGCCAAATGCGTGCGGCTGGAGGAGTTCGAGCAGACGCAGTCACAGACCTTCTCCCAGGTGAGTCCTGGAAGCACTATATAGACATTAATAGGGGAATATTCATTTCCTATGCTCATCAGCCCCATCTAGTGGCCATAATGTTGTATTAAATTACGTTCCACCTGAAAAGAAAATATTACTAAGAAAATGTAGTTTTTGCCTCTATTTGCAAAGAGCGAAGGTTCACAGAGATATGCAGGAGGCCTGGCTCTGCAAATTGCCGTTAAATAGACCCTTGATTAAGAATTGCATATCCTTATTTAAGTTTCTGCCTGTGCCAGACACTGGGGCAGGAAGTGAGAGGAAATCCCTCTAACGGAGACACAGATAGCAATCAATGCCTGAGAGAAGTTCTAACCCTTTCCCAGCTCCGTCCGAAATAAAATGAAACGTTTTGGCTTCATGCATCGCATCACCCTTATAGGTATGCAACATCCATGTGATAGATCATCCAACTGGAAATTACATATTAAAGGGTTAATCAACTTAAACCTAATACATTAGCTATTGGTAGGTGCTGGGAAGTTGCACCAGTGGGAACACCCTAAGGGGGACAGGAGCAGTGTCAGGGATCTCTCTGTTGGAGCTCCCATGGCAAACCAGTAGGACACCAGCTCCCCAGAGTCCTCCTAACAGTTCTTTGTCTCCTCCGACTCCCTCCAACAGGTCCAGTTGTTCCTGAAGGACAGCTGGGTCAGCACGCTGAAGAACGCGGTGCGCGGCAGCCTGCGGGAGGTGGGGAAAGGCTGGTATGACCTCACCGAGTGCAACTGGGAAGTCTACTGCATGTCCAAGCTGAGACAACTGATGGAGCTCATCAAGTTCAACCTGCAGGACTCCCTCCGCTTCCTAGTGCAGGACTCCCTGGTCAGCTTCACCCAATTCATCCTGGACGCCTGCTACAGCGTTCTGACCTGCACCGAGGGCATGGACTGGGGGGGAGACCTCATCAACAGTCCCTACAAGTGAGATATCTGTGTGTCAATAGTCATTGTGCCGTAGATTCGCATAGATTTGATGTCACGGTTTATTGGTGAATTTATCCTGATTTCCTGATTCACAGGCCGCGCCGAAACCCAATTTTCCTGCTGGATCTGGTTCTGGATGCCTCTGGGGTCCATTTCAGCACCGCGCTGGAGAATTTCGAAGGTACCCTGATGACGTTGTTTGATAAAGGGATTCTGGCTACTCACAGCGTTCCCCAATTGGAGAAGGTGAGAATCTCGCTCCCAGAGTCAGACACCACGTGGCCCCTGTGTAAGATCAATTATTCGGCCCCCCATTGAACTGCTGAGCAAGTAAAAAGATGTATTCGTTGTGTATTGAATGACAGCTGGGCCATGTCTAGGTCTATGTGACAATAGCAGCACCCATCTGACCCATATTTAAAAAAATGGACCTTTAAATCCAAGAGGACCCTTGTGCAGGTGCACAGTCTGCACACAGATGGTATGTCCACCCCTGGGAAGATTTATGTTGTGGATAATGTCCATGCAGAGGGAGGGAAGTGTGAGGAGGTGGGGCCCCATGTCTCTGTTCCCATCCATTCAGCTTTTCCAAGGTTAATGCAGGTTAGAACAGATGAAGGTCCCTACACACAGGGCCGGATTTGCTCTCCATGCCGCCCCAAGGCCAGGTTCCGCAGTGCGCCCCCTACCCTGCCGACCCCCCCAATTGTAACGACCCCGATCAATTGTAAACGTACCCGGCTTCCCCACACTTATACTTTTTTACTTTTTTTCATTTAATTATTATTTCTTATTATTTTTTTTATCAATTTCTTTTCACTTAACTTTATCGCTATTACACAGGAGAAAACAATCCCCTGTGTGATAGCAATTGGAGGTGACAGGTCCTCTTTATTGACCCCTGTCACCTCCAAAACAGGAGTTCTAGCGCAGCACTGCTCTAGAACTCCTGTCACAGCTGAGATGGGAAGAGCACGGCACGGCACCGTTCTCCCCTCTCACTGTGTACATCGGCGGCAGGGACAGGAGACAGACTCGGCGGCCGGGGGGAGGACGGAGTCCCGAAGACAGAGCCAGCAGAGAGGTAGGGGGGCGGGGCGGGAGGAGGACGGACGGCAGCACACATTTTACAAGTGATTGCGGCGACATCGCCACAATCACTTGTTAACGAGCGAGCGGATTCCCCACACTACATTTAGTCCCGCCTTCCCAAAGCTGGACTAAATGTAGAAGGCAAGTTACCGCCCGTCGGGGGACTCCACGCCGCTGCCGCCCCGAGGCCTGGCGTATTGTAACAGAAAATGTAGCTTTATTGTTATATTATATACATACAACGGGGGGGATATTTATCAAAACTGGAGCAGATTTGCACGGCAACCAATCAGCCTCTCTCTCTCATTTTCAAATCTTACCTGAGCAAAATGACGAGAGATGCTGATTGGTTGCCACGGGCAACTGCTCCAGATTCTGTCTGCTCCAGTCTTGATAAATTCTCCCCAATGTTTTTTTTTTATTATAATTTGTATATGCGAAACTTAATAAAGAATAATGGAACGAAAGAATCGGTTCCCATTACAAATAGACCTTTTATCTGCGTATCTTCACCGTGAATAAGATCCTTTCCATGTATATCTCTGCGATGCTGCAATCTCCATACGTGTCTATATGTGCAGTTTGTCCTGGAGGACCTTTTCATCAGCGGCACCCCACTGCTGGAGTCTGTGGGCCTCCACGAGCCTCCGGTGGAAGAACTGCGCAGCAACATCCGCAACGCCATTTGTAAAGCCCTGATACCGTTGACGGCGTACGCAAAACAATACGAGAAATACCTGGAGGTCAACAACACCGATGTGGAAACATACATAAAGTGAGCACATGGCCGAAGATCCGACTTCCTATCTGAAGATCCCGGGACGGATCTGTATTATTATTATTATTATTATAGGGGATTTATAGAGCGCCATGACGCGCGACAGTATTCTGAAACCTGCCGGCGGCCATCTTGGTGATGGACACCGGCAGAGAGAGGAGGAGACAGCCACCCCCCCCCTCTCCTGATACTGTCGGGCGTTCGGTCCATGACCGAGCGCCCGACTTTTCAGAGGGGGGTGACACCAAAATGACTGCAAGTCATTTTGGTGTCACCCCTCCAATGGTGTCACCCGGGTGCGGGCCGCACCCCCCTTGTGACGCCACTGGCCAGTGATACATGAGGAGGGAGCTGTGTGGGGAGGAATTGTCTGAGAAAGTGATGGTTGAGTGGTCAGGTTGAGGTGGGATCGGCTTCCCTGAAGAGATGAGTCTTTAGGAAATGCAGTCAAGGTGGGAGACAGACGGACAGGTTGGGGTAGAGAGTTCAAGAGGATGGGAGAGACTCTAGGGAAGTCCTGGAGGCGAACATGGGAGGAGTTGACAAGGGAGCTGGAAAGCAGGAAGTCTTGTGAGGAGCGGACGGTTAGGGTGATACTTTGAGACCAAGTTGGAGATATAGACGGGGGCGGAGTTGTGGAGCTTTGTAAGTGATTGTTAATATTTTGAATGGTATCCTTTGGGCTATTGGAAGCCAGTGGAGGGATTGGCAGAGGGGTGCGGGGGATGGAAGCCAGTGGAAGGATTGGCAGAGGGGGGTGGGGGAT